TGCTGATTTTTTTTTTTTTACAAATTTGCTCCACTTTAATGTGCTGGGAAGAATAGTGTTGAGAACGTATTTTTTTTCTCTCTCGCACAAAATTAAAATTGATTTCTTCTTGTACTTAACATAAGCAAGAAAGTGTGCTGCATTGCTTTGGGACAATGTAGGTAAGGGATGAAAATAAGCAAAACTCGAGTCTGTATCCACATATAAATCAAATGTGTTAAGTCAATCGGCCAACTCCCTTTCCTGACCAATGTTATCAAGCAGCAAACTCTGGACTGGTTTCGACCTTCTGGGTCTCATCAGCTTAGACAAATGGCGCTTGGTCATATTGATCCAGAAAGCCATGAGGCTGAGTGACTGTGACATATTTAACATGAGTTAGCTCTTTCAGAATGTTACAATGTCATGCTCAGTGTTGGTTGGTACGTGAAAGGCATGCGGTTTAATTGGAAGGAGGCTGAAATGGCCAGACTATACTTGAAATCAGCATTACAGTTGGCCTTATCAGAAGCGGATAAATGCATGGAATTGGAAATCTGCCCTTAACAAAAAAAACCTGTCTACTGACATCCGATTAACATAATCTTTGGGTCACTATGCATTGTGGCTCTGCTGAATTGAATGCATAATTGCTCAGCCCTTTGTCAATCCACCGAGCACTTGATGAAAGCCTCCCCATGCCTTGCCACGGGTGTTCGACTATACTTCCCTAAGCTGGTCCGCGCGGTTATGTTACAGTGCGGAGTGGGAGGGCCTTGATTCTGTCTGATATCGACATATCACTCCCACCGACGTGACCCAGGACTGGGACTTGAACTCCGCTTGTTGGCATCACCCAACACTAACCCCTCCGCCGTGATTAATTAAACACAGGATATTAAATATATATTTTACATTAATTGTATATAGGTTTGTAAGCTAATGTTAATTTATATACATATATTTTTGGGGGGAAGGGGGTGGGGTAATACATTATATCAGCTTAATTTATGATGAAAATGTATTATTGAAGAAATACCTCAATCGAGACCCAAACATCGCACCTCTTGCCTTTGACATTCCTCCACGAAGATACTGGGAATTGAAGCGTCAACGCGACCTGGGAATCCAGCCGCGTTTGTTTAACGAGCCCTGGTGCTGATGATGAGATGAGGAAGGCAGACAACCGATCCAAATTCTTCCTGACAATATTTCTCTAGAAAACCAATATGCTGATAGACAACGAACGGATGATGTGCATGTTTACGCGGAGAGACAACGCGGAGTTAGTTCAATGTCTGCTCTTTGAACAGGAGACACAAACTCATTTAATATACGTAAATGTAATATATATTATTTTTGCTGTTGTAATTTCAAACCACCGTAGGTTATTTTTTGGTGTAAATTAATCTAGAATATTAGTTGTATGTATTTGTGGGAGACAGACTGTGTGTTACCGCCGTGGGATGTTGTAGTTGGTGATTTTGTTCATGGACAGATGGTGTTTATAACAGTATATTTCGGTTTACATTTGACAACAGATGGCTGGGTGTTGGCATCGCTGATCATTATAGTCGGGTGGTTTTCTGTAAAAAAACTTTTTTTTGTAAACGTATCATCGTAGTGTTTACAGTATTTTGCCAAACGAGTTTAACCACTCCTGCTCTTTAATAGCAACCAAGCCGAACTGGTGATTGATACAGCTCGGAGTTTTAATAACTTAGACATGTAACATTTGATTTTTAGTTTTACTTACTTAAATGGGTTTGCATACCATTAACATTTATTAATAAAACAAAAATGTTTAAACACATACAATGCAAATAGTCAATTTAACTTCGTAGGCTTACAGGACCAATATTATCCATAATAGAGGCTCTTTTGGGTTAGACCGTGTAAACATAAATGTGTTGTTAAACCTGCCACTACCTGACACAGACAATCAGTAATGTTTACCACGAAAACAAAACATGCCAATTCGTAAATGCAAATAGTATTGGCCAAACATCCACATTGACTACAAATCACTCAGTTGGGATTACACCTCGTAACAACATCACCCCCTCCTGCGACAACTTGGCAGGACCTTCTTGAGAAAGAGCCTTGAGCCTCAGTAAGGCTGTCCTGAATAAACTTGCTCAAACGTTATCATGCGACATCTCTTGCGAACCAGATTGAGGTTGCATGCCAATTAATTAAATTAGGCATCGTGATTAGAGCGCGTGGTTTGCAACAGGAGGGCTTTAAGCAAAGACGAAGCAATTAGATAATTGCATCGATAAAACAATGACAATTGTAACCGACTCATTTTTGTGGTTGTGTAATTTTCGGTTCCTTTAAAAGATGACGGTTCACCCCCACGCAGCGCCTCCCGAAGGCAGGAAACCCCCACCTGCAAGTCACGCTCAGGGTGAGGCCGCTGATGACAAGTCACCACGCACCTCCACACCACCTCCCGTCCAGCGGCACACGTGGAAACATAGGTGAGATGTTTCCCACCTGATGACGGACGCTTGTGTTGCGCCCAAAACGTCGCGATTTATTTAATTTTATACCTACGTGACTTTACCTGAAAGAACCAAAGAGTATGGATTCCTGCAGTCACGAAGGCTTCAAATCAAGATTGAGATATTTCCTCTCAACTATTTTCGTGTTATCCGACTAGTCGAGTAATCAAATCGATAATCAGCAGATAAATCAATTAGTTACATAATCGGATTGCAGCCCAGCTCAAGCTCTAGATTCAGGTTGCTTCAGACTTGCATTGCTTCAGGGTCCATAAAATGTGTTCCACTTATATTTGTGACGCTCAGATACGCAACGTTGTACTGCATATTACGTTGAGGCGTGACATTTTACTTCCCATCTAAGTATTATTTATTCGCTCTACCGTGAAGCATAGTCCGCCGCAACATTGTTTGGGCTAATTGTACAATAATAATAACAATGATGAGAAATTCAACAAAATAACAACCACACAGCTTGTCCAGCAGGTGTCACTGTGGAAATGAAGCGACCGTTCAGTCACGGTGGGTCTCCTGGCTGGGTTCAAGCGCCCGAAGCGCATTGAACTCGGGATTGAATAAGCACACAACTTCACAGAGAGAGAGACGACGGGAAGACAAATAGGTTTACTTTCTCTCACTCGGGCCTAAGGAAGAGTCATTATTCAAAATGTTAGTTTACAACCCCGCGCATGCCATCGTGTTACTTTGAGAGGCAGCCTATTTAGCTAACACACAACAGAACTCCTCTCTATTTATGCTGGATAAATCCGAGAAGCTATGAAGGTTTTTGTTGTCAGGGATGTCTTGTGACCGATGTATTACCCGTGGCCCTATTATACAGGGACCTGTAGGCTCTGCAAACAAAAACCTTCGATTATCTGCAGCCATATTCTTCCTATTATTCACACTTTTCCCCCGCAGATAAGAGGAGTGAATATTTGGCTGCTATAAATGTCCACATTATAAGCCACTTCGTTGAGTTATAATTTGTGGCCAGGTCGCTTCTGAAAATAAGATCTACACAACTCAGTGAGCCTTACGTTGTAGATGGAAAAAAATATTAACTTAAAATAGAATTCACGGATAAGCGAGTGGCAAAAAGGATATGCGATGTTTCTGCCCCACATCAACGCGATTAAGAAGAATGATTCTGTACTGCCTTGGCAATCACGATTTATTTGTTTCCCGTGAAGCCTTCATGAGTGTCCAGAGGTTACGTTTTGAAAGGTGTTCCCTTACAATTCTGAAGGATGTTGGTGTGATGCTGAACACACTTTCAACTTCGTATGGACGAGGCAAAACCAAACCCTACTTGCCGTACCTTTCTAAACGGGGTGCATTGTTGTCTGCAAGTACAGGCTTCGTATTTCGATTTAAAGCTTTCGTGACTGCAGGGATTCATCTTCTTGGTTCTTTCGGTAAAGTCACGAAAGAACCAAGAAGAAACAGTCTTCGTAGTGAAGAATTCGAGCCTCAACACCACACCATGGCAGCAGCATCACCACCACGTGTGCACATTATGACGATGACACGAATACAACGTGGGGACAACGTGGTGGTCACCAGAGGACGGTGCCGCAAAACATCCATTGTTGTACTGCACTCATTACCCCCACGTCTATGCACCCGGCACTCACCGGTCTGCACTGAACCAGCGTGTGGTGAAGTATGGTCATCTAAAGCCCACTGCCAGTACGGGGTGCGGGGATGCGCTGCGTTCATGGATTCAAATCTGGCTCAGGAATAGTGGCCGAGTTATGCTCAAAACAGCGAGAGAGCAGCAGACGGAGAGATACAGGAGACACTGAAGTGGTTACAATGCGAGCTTATGGAGAAAAGTCTTAGCAACCCTGGTTGTATACGTTGTTTTTGCTTTCAAAATGTGCCCAATTTTCCTTTGATAATTTTCAATCCGGGTGGATAAAGTGCGACAGAAATGAGTAGGAGAGAAGATTGCCTAGTTGAAGATTTCTGCCTGCTTTAGAGTGATTAAGTTTAACACAAGCTTTGCAAACGTTACGTTTGTAAACCTTATTTGGTCCATTCATGCTCCAATTGTGAACGATGTCTTTTCACGAATTAAACAAATAATTCCAGCACACGGCGAATTAGCACAACTTCTAAAAGACAACTTTTTCATGTTTATTTTACAAAAAAATGCAAATACAAAATAAAAGCCTCAAGTGTTGCTTTTACACAGCGCATTAATTTATATTCACGCCTTCTCAGATGCACTAAGCATCTTTCAGTGGGCATCCAATGTTCCCAACAGAGTTTTTGTTTCGTTTAGAGTTCCTTGTTTAAGGCGGTTTTTTTTACTCTCCGCCCACAAAAAAAAATCTCTTTCAAAAGTTGCGCTCCCTCTGACGCTCCTACTCGGGGGTTTTAAACTTTTACGGTCCTCGCTCCACCCCCTCCAACGCAAACTTCTCAAATGCTATTTGACTGCCCTCCCTTTTGAGGTCTCCCCCCCCCCCCCCCAAGTCCCTGCACTTAACACCACCCACCCACCCGAACCCACCGGGAGTTTGGAAGGAGGGCTGCTGCTGCTGTTCACAGTAATCACACTCAGACCTAATTCATTGCATGCGTGCAACAGAGGCACACACACACAGGACAAGAGCATCTTTCTAACGTCGGCTGCTGCCGCGGCTGCTTCTGTGCTCGGGACAAACAGGAATATCGACCCATTCTTTTGCCCTCACTCTCTGCCTCTCTCTCTCACACACACACATTTACACACGCGTGCGCTCACGTGCACACACACACACACACGGGTGCACACACGTGGACACACGCACGCACGCGCGCGAGCGCATAATCTTGGTACATGTTGAAGATCCCCAGCTCATCAGTCCTGCAAACTCTATAAGCAACCGGTTTGTCCCGATACACAAGTCATCAAAGTTGCGTCAAGTTGTTGAATGAACATTTCTCGAATCGTTTGAAAGCGAGTTGTCCCCGGCTCTGCTCGAGCTGCCCTCCCAGCTGGGGCTACACATTCACGGGAAGAGGCGACGCACGTGGCGGCAAGTCCCGGGGTGGATTACAACTTCGACTCGACCGGCAGGAATCAAGATGCGGCGGCAACCCGAGATCCTACTCCTCTTCCTGCAAGTCTTGGTGTCTCGCGCAGCCTTGGCGCACGGGACGGGACTCCAGGTTGGAATGTACGTATTGCGTGCACTCTACGAAGACAAGATGATCCCCCCGTGTATAGCCTGTAACAGACTGTCGGGGAAAATGTTGTTTGTGAGTAGCACCCTTTGAAGGGTGTGGGTGGACAGCACTACGCCCGGGTCACCTTTGTCTCCCCAGTGGCGATGTTTCTTTTTTTTTACACATCGCACCAGGTACTCATTAAAGGCTGAGTCAACCTAGGGGGATGTCCAGGACCAGTTCAGACAATCGTCACTGGTGTTGGCCGTGAGGAGGAATCGAACTCGGGTCGCCGGGTTTCGTAGCGCAGTTCGATAACCCACTTACACTACCGCTACACCCACCCACGCACACACACACACACGTGGTGCGTATGTATGTGTGTATGTGGTGGCCTCATTTGAGTGGTTTTATTGACTTGTACCTTGATGTGGAACTTATCTCAAGTTTCGCGAGTTCACGCTTTTCGTCAATGATTATTGAAACTGTACGGTGTTAGGCTTCCCGGGTCTTTAAAACGTCACGTGCAAAGTTTACATCCAGATTCCACGTCGGGTGATTCGTTAGAACGCGTTGACACAAAACTGCGAAGTCCCTTCGGACGCGTGCAAGAGAGAGAGAGATGCGCGCTTGCAATTACACTGAGAACCACAGAGAGGAACACGGCGATTAGAGAACGCACGCATACCTCACGACATCAGTGAAACTGCTGGGACATGACACGTCATGGCGGACACGTGGTAACGCCCGATGGCCAAGGGTAATTAACGATGTCTCAGTATCCAACGGATGGGACTTGTCCCAAAGCACGTGCTATTGAGGAGATGGAGCGATGAAATCAGCCCATGTTGCCGGTGCTGGGTGGATTCATTGCATTGCAGGATCGCGAGATGTGGTGGAGAATTGTGGAGGTCTTCGTCCAGCAGTGGATTGATTGACCGTGGCTGATGATGATGATGAGGAATGGACGTGTTGACCTTCTCAGTTCCAAGCAGTGCCGGATTATCCGAGTAGCAAAAGTAGCTACACATGTAGCTACGGGCCCCGCACTTTCAAGGGCCCCGCGCTAAATGCTTTCAAGCTATCAATTCCGTTTCAGTGATTCTGCACTTGCTCTATTACTATAGTGCTATACTGCCTTCGACTTGTATGAACGACCCGGTGTTTAAGGTTAGCGGTTTGTCGATGTATCTGGCTCTATAGCAAATGAAAAAAATACAATTACTTTAAGATGCAAGTAAAACATGTGTGTTTAATATTAATGTTTTTTTTTTATGTAGGGCCCCTTAAAACATATGCTACAGGCCCCGCACTAGCTTCATCCAGCACTGGTTCCAAGTGACCTCTTTTTCATTTCGTTGTTTCATACCTTTAAGCGCTTTGTACAATGTTAGTACAGCAGATGTCCACGTGCAAATGACATTGCTCTGAGAGAGAAAAAATATCTGCTATTCACAGTAATCAGACACGCACAATGTTTGTATCGAAACAGTGAAAATCAGAGGCACAGCCACTCTTTAGAAGTTGCCAGTGTTCTACTATCGAAACATTTTCTCCCCTGTGATTATCAGATCACAGATATGATCTGCGAAATTCACACCCCCGACTTTGTCACGGATAAGCGGAGTTCTTCTGCACTGTAATTACATGCAGTATAGACAACCGGTGACTACCGACTCGGTACTGGAACTACTTTACTGTTCGTGCGTGCACTTAATGGTTCTGTCATCGGCATGGTCACCGTTTATAATCATCACCTTGTTGAAGGGAGAGGGGAAAAAAAACACAGTCTGAAAAATACAAGATTTTTTTTTTACTTCCAAAAATGTTGTGGGTGTGTCTCGTAGACATTTCTAAGCATGCTGACGATGTCCTGACACCCACGCCACCCACAGTAAGTGTATTGATCAGGGGGACATTTGACACGTGTTCAACCGTACAATTTATTCATAACGGCGTTACGCGCAGATTCATATGCGTGCTGTGTGTATTCGTTTTCTTACTTACGGGGGGGAGGGTTCCATCCTTTTGAGAGGCAATTTGAGAACCTGTCATGTGTTTTTCGAGTCGTTCCGACTTAACCCACACACACAACGACGGGGGTGAGAATGATTGCCGTACAGGGCACGGCAGACAGACGCTGCAGCGTTACTTCAGAGGAATGCACAGACGTAAGAGTGGTTGGGCGGTCGTGCGCCGGTGGATGACATTTAGAATTATTGCGTAGGAAACTGCACGTCTGGCAGCACACGCCAGAGGACACACGTTCTGCCTGTGTGTGTGTGTTTACCAGTCCAGCGCTGCAGTGTGATGACACAACTGGGATCAATTGGTCATGGTGGAGTGGGAAAGCCGTGACATCAAACGGAGTTACCCCACTCCACCGCTCCTCTCCCCAATCAAACTCAACACCACGAACGCCATCGGAAACCAGACGTTTAATTGTTTACCTAACGCGAAGCTCAAACGCAATTCACTCATCATGAGTCTGGACACACAATGGGGACACGCAGGGGGGTCCGTATGAATTTACAAGGGAATGCGTGCTCCCTACCACGCACAGCTTGCCTCTGCCCTCGTTTAAACGTTTTTTTTTCAACTATCTTCGGTATTACAGAGCTACACGGTGATGGCAAGTGAATGGGGAGGGAGGGTTGGGGGCTGTCCCGTGAGTGAGATAGCCTGCTGCGATATGAACCCAGCGACCCGAGTTCAATTCCCAGCGACGGTTAACATCGGCGGCGCGTGAATTCCTAAACCGATCCCTGGGCACACAGAGGACCTCTTCCAACGCGCATTGCTGATCAGCGCTGCGGCGACGCACGGTCGACGAGGCATGAGGACGCCTGGATCAAGCAGTGGAGTGACGTGTTACATTTGTGCATCCCACAGTTAAATTTCGATTTAAAGCTTTCGTGACTGCAGGGATTCATCTTCTTGGTTCTTTCGGTAAAGTCACGTAGAAGGGAAGAAATAAAATAATAAAAATAATAAAATTATTCTCACGACGTTTCGGCCACAACGCAAGCAGCCGTTCTCAGGTGAAGACCAGGTCTGTCTCCCCGACAGACGCTGTCTCCCCGACAGACCTAGTCTTCACCTGAGGACGGCTACTTGCGTTGTGGCCGAAACGTCGTGAGAATTATTTTATTATGTTTTATTTTTATTATTTTGTTACTTCCCTTCTACGTGATTTTACCGAAAGAACCACGAAGATGCATCCCACAGTTGTAAGAATTAACCTCCCTCCTTAACGCCCCCCCCGCTCCCTCCCCCCAACCCTTGCCCATCTCCTCGAATACATTTGATGAATTGTCACAATTCCATTACGTGCACGATATATATCGAACGGCGATTGTTGCACGCGATCGGTGCTATTCGATGACGCCTCGTCACACCTCCGCCCCCAACACTTGTCGCTGGGAGGGAGCATCCCTGCACGCCTTTTAACGATCTCGCAGGATTGCTTCCCTACAGAAACCAGGGGGTTATTTATCTTACGACGAAATGCTCATTAATCACATGTAATGTATGCTAATGTCCTGGGTTTCATTAAATCATATATATAAATAAGTATGGAAATACATTTCCAAATACCACAATTTACCAGGACCTTCAAAGTTATTAGAGCTGTAAATGCCACGTGAGTCATTTACCCATTCATATTCGGTATAATTAACTTTTTTACTTTACATTACTGTCGGATGCATTCATAGGATGGGAGTAAAAAAATCACGCAGAAATACAAACTGAAAAGTCCACGAAGAAGCATGAAGAGATGCATGCTGGGAATTACATGTATAGACAGCCAGAGGAACACGTGGATCCAAGAACACGCGCAGGTGAACGACGTCGTTCAAACTGTTACCAAAATGAAAGCGCTCGGGCAGGACATCGCTAAAAGAGGGAGAACGGCAGATGGCCAAGAATAATGAGAATAATGATGGAGAAACGCCCAAGGAATGGAATGCATCCGAGACGACATCGGCTGCGCGGAGATGGAGCGATGGCATCAGCCGTTTGTGCTGTTGGTTTGTTACGTCGCAGAAATGTGATAGGTGGCAGTGTTTTTTAGGGAGCTCTTCATCCAGCCGTGGATTGACCATTGCTGCCGATGATGACGAGTTACTCCCTGGGTTTTAATGCTCCGTTTATTTTATCCCATGGTTAAAGCTAGCGGAAAACATGTTAACATTTGGGCATCTGTAGATTTATATCTAACGATCGTTTAATACATTGGGGATCCCCAACTTGCGATAACAAGTGGGGATCTCTTGATCTATTGGTCATCACACGATCGTTTTCGTGGGTTCGGCATATGCACGTGTCATTAACAGCAAGTGTTACAGCAACCATTTGGTAAAATGTTTAACTGCAAGCCAAGCCCGGCTGACAATAACGAAACCAGCGGGGAACAGTAATGATCAAGGCAAGCTGCCGCTCTGATCTACGGTTCTGCACTTGTGAAAAGGTTCGTCTATCAAGGGAGACTCGTTTAAATTTAGTATGGGAGAGCCGCTGTCTCTTTTTCTTTTTTTAAGTCATGGTCCCTGAGTTAATGTTAATACCTGGAAGGGGATTGCGGGAAGGGGGGGGGGGTATACATTCCATCATTCCTCTGGTCATATCTTGAAAATGTATAATTTGCACGTACAAATGTGCTTAGCGTATATCCAGTGTGCTGGCACCGGACATGATTGTCTGATCGTTCGTCAGAGAGAGAGAGGGAATGAAACCGCTGCACCTTTGTGAGTATGCAACTCGGCGTGTGGGAATGATCACACGGGCAGGCAAGAGGGCCCGAGTCCAAAACGTAGCACAACTGTGACCTGTAAATGCTTTGGGTCCAATGTCTCTATTATTGGGAAATGAACCCTCACTCTGTTGTTGTCACTGCTGAAGAATCTGAATTATTTTAACCAAAAATCCAAGCAGGGACCGATCACCCAGCTATATATATATACAGTAACCCATGAATAAATACAATATTGCAAAATGTTTAACCGTTAATAAAAAAAATTACAAATGGTTACGGTGCACATGATATGGTGGTCGTCTTACTGGTGTGACACAACATTCTACCAATCAGGAGACAACACTGTGTAGAACGTCATTCATCTACAAACAAATTGATAACTTTAACACAAAATATAATTTGCTTGCATGTGTGCACAATGTCTCCTCTGGGATTTCAAGTATTTTGAAATCTGCTTCCTGGCTTAAAGTTTCTGCTGGGAGAGAGAACTTTGCTGTGTCTGTACATAACTGCTAAACTGCCTGAACGATGCTTTGACAAAATATACGTTTGATTATGCTCAATTTCCATTTCCCAATGTTCCAAAACTCAGATTTATTTTTACAGTGCTTGAATGCTATTCTGTGAGAATGGACGAAAAGAAAAAACACATTATTTTTGTCTTTGGCGCCTTGAGACATTGTGAATGGCTCATTATTATAATTGAAAATGACTATCATTTTGCTTCTGTTGCCAATCTACTCCTGAACGGATCCTACTACATTTCACAGATACCACGGTATGCGCACGTGTGTGTGCGAGGCAATCCATGGCATGCACACACGCATTTCCCATCTTGTGCATGCTGCATGATCGCAGTTGGAGTGCGCGGCCCTCATTGAGGAGGCTCTCGTTGTATGTGCCGTGTGTTTAAATACCGGATGGACTTTGACTCTTTAGCCCTTCGTGCCTCGGAAGTCGATCAAAACAAGCACCATGCTGTGGGCAATGAACGGTATTCACTGATGCACTCGCTCGCTCGCCTCTCTTCAACCCGTGTGGAATCTCCACCCCTGGCTCAGAGCTGCCAACGGGAGATGAACAGCGGGCCAATGCTCATTGGATCAATAAAACACTTTGACTTTCGTATTTTCACTTAACTTTGCAGAGTGCATATGTATCTGCATTTATACGTGTGTATGTATGTGCGTCAACATGGGGGGTATGGGTATGTGGGTGCGCCCATGGATGAAAGATAACGGTGCAGCCCTGCGGTTTCTGACTCGTGCCACTGCTGGCGAAAGGGTATTTGCTAAGATGGAGCTTAAAGTGCCCTTCTACCGTGGGCAAGACCCCTTTAGAAGAGGCGAGTGTACTCACGATTTACCCCACCGCACGTGACCTACCAATCAACTGCCTGTGGCCTATCCATTTCCACTGCTGGATGGACGTGTGCACGGTTGCTTCAACTGCCGTGCCGGGAGGTCGAATGGAACTGGCGACTTCGTGGATCGCGAGATCCGGCGCGCTGCGTTCTTTGCACGTAAACGCGGCGTGCTCGTGCGCGTCGTTGACCCGTTTGCGCCCTCTCCCACCGTCAACGCCAGGCCCAACGTGTGCTCCGAGCAGCAGCTGATGGTGGTGACCCACAGGCAGCCGTGCGTGCAGGCCTTCACGCACATGGTCAAGGTGTGGAAGCAGGGCTGCGGCGGCCAGCGCTGGTGCGTCGGCTACGAGAGAAGGTGAGGTCCCCCCTCGTCGATGCTAGCGCATGGCCACGCCTGCAACCTGCTGCCCCTCATCCGTAGTGCGTAGAATTCTGAGTTCTCTCTCTCGCTCACTCTCGTAGAGCGGGAGAGAGAGAACTCAAGAGGCGCAAGGAACCACAGACAAACAGGAAGGCAGGCATCCTGGTGAGCCAACAATTGGCCAAGCTCTGCATTCATTGATATATGAAGGTGTTTTTCAGCAAATGATTGAGTGTTTACGTGCATGCAAGGGGGAAACGCTGTATCCCATACCGACGGAACAAAATATCGAGCCCACGTTATTACTGTACTGCCTTCTCCTGGCAAACCAGGGCACGGCACCTCCTCGATGCCGACAGGCAAGGGAGTGTCTGCAACATCACTGCAGTGATCCACCAACACTCGTCTCCACAGCTCTGGACTGAAGGCACGCCACCATGGCTACTCCCCGGCTCGCTCGCTGACCCCGGCAGGAACGTATGTTGCCGATAAGAGTCCCCACCGGCCATATGAGAACAGATTCCAAAATGAATCGCACGCAAAGAAAACAAAGACCCACCGCTACCACACTGTGAAGTCGTGTTCCGTGTGTTCACAAACACATTAGATTATGAAAAAAAAAAAGATCTCACAGCAGGGTAAAAATGGAAAGAAGCACATTAGCGGATATAATAATTTGATCAGTTTTTATTTTCCGAGCACGCAATGTAGCGGAATGACTTGCATTCGTGCAATACACTTCAAAATGTAAACGCAGTACGATCGTTTCGTGGGCCACCGTTTGTTTGATTGCATTGCAGAATGGATCACAATTAAACTTCTGCTTTCACAAATGGATGATTCGCAGGCTCGGATATTCAATAAGAACACGGTGCTTCTGGGAAGCGTATGCATTCTTCTCTAGTGCTAGCCCCGAGTAAAAATATTACATTGTGCTGTCACAATGCTTGCATGCCAGCAAGGGTGGGAGGGAGTTCCAGATGACGGGAGCAGCGAAGGTGAAAAAGCGACCTCCAACCGAGGGAAGATTGACTTTGGGCTTCCACAGAACGCCTTGGTTGCTCGAGCAGAAAGGTCGTGGAGGGGAGTAGAGTGAGATGAGAGGGGAGAGGTAGGAGAGTTCGTGAAGGGGAGTAGAGTGGGACGAGAGGGGAGTTATAGGGGAATGTGTGTGTGGGGGGAGTAGAGTGAGATGAGAGCGAAGAGGTATGCATAACTGTGCCTATAGAAGATCTTTCAGATTGCGAGGCTGATCGTTGCAGATTTGTAATCAAGATTGGGAATTAGTCGAGGAATCGGAATATTTGGGTGACATAGCATTGTATGAATTTGCAGTTCTTGAATTGATCAAATCACAATAGATTGGTTTAGTCAAAAAACAAATCCGTTTGCGAGCTAAAAAAAATATTACATCAAGACATCAATAAAATATATATATGTGCCATTAGTTTGAGGCACTCTAATGTCCACTAAAACTTTAAGACTGAATTGTTTAAATAAGGCTCTCCACGTTAATGCCAGCACAATGACTGCATACAGAGAATTGTAAAATCTTTCATAAACAAATAAAACGGATTTCTTCATCTGTCACGTTTAGGAAACCAAAATGTAAACATTGAGCAAAGCGACCAATCATTCGTACGTACAGTGATGTAATTTAAATAATCCCGAACCATTAGTTCATTATCATCCACATACAACATACATCACATGGCAAAATCGCAGCTCTGCAGTCTCCCCAGGTACTCGTTTAAGGTTGAAACAACCCAGGGGAGGCCCACCCAGCAAGCACCAGCTCAGATAATCACCGTCCTTCTTAGCCGTGGCCTGGAATCAAACTCAGGCAACCGGGTTCAGAGCGCTGTCCACTAATCACTACACTATTGCTCCATTTATTAATACAGACAAAGATCCCCCGGATAGCCTTAACAGACTATTGAGGCAAGTGGCGTTTGCGAGCACCTATTAAGGGGGGTGGGTGGCCAACACTACGCCCAGCCGCCTTTGTCTCCCTAGTGGCGATGTTCACATACTGCAGAAGGTACTCATTTGAGGCTGAGTCAGACCTAGGGGAGGCCCAGAACCGGTTCAGATAATCGTCATTGATGTTCGCCATTCGCGGGAATCAACGTGCTAACCGTGATGCTACCGCTCCCCATGTTAACTACACACTAATAGACGCGCAGGCAAATGCACGTGGCTATCGCCGATCGCCTGGACCCCTTTCTCCCTGTGCTTGCAGGACTGCGTACTTCACAGCCAACCGGCAGGTGTACACCATGGAGTACCAGTCGGTGCCCAAGTGCTGCCCAGGCTGGTCCCAGCTCAGCGGACACGCCGGGTGCCTCAACCGTAAGTGTCTCGCTCCGAATTCGCGCCGCGTCCGCGAGTTCAGCTCCACGCACGAGCGAGCGACCTGAGCGCTTGGGGGTCACACCCGTCGTGGGTTTGCTGCGTGCGGCCCAGAGTCATTACGAACGGCCGCTTCGCTCCGGAGGCACGTGTTGCCCTCAACCTTCCTCCACTGCGGGCCGCAGCAAAGTCACAATTTGTGTGGTTGCGGTGGTGACGCGGCCCAAGCGGTGGCGAGTTCGCCGCTCGTTGCAGAGGTTTGCGGTTCGAGGCCAGCGGCCCGCCCCGGTCATAACCAATGTGGATGTGTTAAACAAAAAGTACGCATCACCTGCTTCGCAGTTGACGTTGAAGATCCCGTGAGATCATATATGCGTGAACAGGAAATTGTGTGCTGGTGTCATGGTCCAAATTTAAAAAAGTGACCCGCAAATGACTCCATTGGAATATACGGAGCAATCACCGCCAACTAATGCAAACGCAAAATTAAATAAAAAAACTTGCCAGGACTCTCCTGATTAAAAGAGTCCTGAGACTCAGTGAGGTTATTCCTGGTTAATTACATAATCATTGACATGAGTACAGGTTTGTGTCTGTCTATGCAACATGGTACATTTTTCACACCGTGCTTTTACCTGCATGACTTTGGTTGTTCATCTTCTGTGTAACCCTGGCACATGTGCCATTGCAACGGGGCACGTCATAAATGCATGGTTGTGAATCTTGATGAAAATGGACCAATGGACATTTAAAATAATGTATGGTGCTGAGTCAAGGGAGGATAATATTTATGATGGCGATGAGCACAGTCAGATTTCACTTTCAAAGTCTGCTCATTAACACAGCAGCTTTTGCAGCAGGTGGTTAATTTGGCAATTGCTCAACTTGGCTAATGGTTTATTGTTGTGAACATCGCATTAACACATTAAATGGCTCATGGGACAACAGGCAAAGCAGCTGCCTTAACACACACTCTTTGTAATAACATGGGCTTAATGTTGCACACAACAAACACAACGCCAGAACCCCGTGTGGTGATTTAGTTTGCACCCTATTTTCAATCCATTGCTGGATGAAAGTCCCCCCCCCACCCCACACACATCCTGTTAGACGTGGATGTCGTTTGACCATACTTCACCACGCTGGTCACAGGGGGGCTCAGGACCAGTTCGGATATCACTTGCCCGCGATGTTGTCTGTGGCTGAGAATTGATCTTGGATCGCCGGGTTAAGATTACTGTGCCACGCTCCACTCTGGCATGCACCCAGGCACTATACATAATGTAGATGGTTTGTGACTGCACACATTGATAATTCTTTGAAAGAAATAAAGAAGCTGAAAAATGCGAATGCACCTGCGTCAACTTCCAGTGAATGGCCAGAGCAAAGCCAGCCGATCCTTGAAAATAAAACAAACCCTGCTGCAGTGTATGCGTGTATGTGAACCATTCCGCGTGTATATTATAACCGTGGTGTTCCGTGACAAAGCATTGCTTTAAAGTTGTTGATGGCTCTCGGCAGCAAAGTTAAAGGTTATACACTCTTATTTATCAAAGCTTTTCCAGCAAATCTACAGTTGAACATAGGATAGACTCCAATATGGCTTGGAAATGGTTACTGCAAAAAAGGTAAGTGACGCCAATGGAATAAACCAATGGCATATAGATCAATGAGCGTCTCATGTTTGGTGGGAGAATCGCCAAGACGGAGAACACGTTGCACAAAAGGTAGTTGTTGTTTCAAGAAAAAGGCAACGGGGGAGCCAAAAGGACCACATAAATACGGTTTGTGCAAATTAAGCACCGCACTGGAAATTTTAAGGATTAATGTAAATGCCGATGGATCCCGCGTGCTTTAGAAGTAGCCTTCTATAAGCACCGACGACAAACCCCAGGTATCATTTGGGTGCACCAACCACGACTTTCATCGCTGAAAGCGTGGGCCCCTCTTCATCCGTAAGGCAAAGGAGCGGCCCCGACACTGCTCGCTCAAGCCACTGCTGGCAGAAGGGCCACCACTGGACGGAGCTCCAGAGAGCCCCTCTGCAGGGTATTTTGGTCTACTCTTCCACGGCGGCCAGGCAACTCGGAAGATTGTGTGAACACCATCACCGAACCCTGCCAAACGTGATCTGTCAATCGACGAACTAGTGGTGGCCCCAGATTGCATCGTTGGGTGGACAAGGTTGGGGGGGGGGATTATGAAAAGTCAGCCAACTGCTGGATTAAAGTATCCCACCACATCCCGTCACACGTGGACGTTGTTAGACCATACTTCACCACGCTGGTCATTGCGGCCGTCCATTATTAAACCACCGGGTTCTTAGGTGCAGTGAATCGATGGCTTGAAGCCGGTCACGTGTGATTGCATGAAGAAAAAATCCCGTCACACAAAGTAGTATTTTCACCGAAGTCAGCTCGTTCCAACCCAAATTGGCATGTGACGAGCATTGTTTGTAGGTCACTGAAACGAATTCATACATTAATAAAGAATCCTACCGAAGTATTGGTCCAATTTCCTAGAACATGTTTTTAAATGAGTATTTAATCTGTAAAACCTGTTACATTTTAATGAAAAACACAGCATTTTCTAATAATAATAACAATAATGATTGAAACTTTAAATAACATCTACTTACGAGAGATATGTTCGCAATTAAATATTGCAAGTGCAAATTTACGACAATGATATCTCCCCACTGCAGGAGCTTGATAACTGTGAATTTCTCACTGATTATTTTGGCAAGAATAACTCTTCGGTAAAAAAAAATGTAATGGTTTGCACAATCGTAACTAAAAAGCGGTATCTTTTGTTCAAGATGCCTCTGAAATACGACGCCGTGTACAGTAAAATGACCTAAATTACATCATCGAGAGAGTGCGAGGGAGTGCGTAAGTTCCCATGTGCTTGCACTTGGAGTTTGGACCGTAAACACGACGGTGGCCAAACAGTTGAGCAGAGGTGCATTAAAACGTGGCGCCGTCATAATTAGAGCCACTTCAGCGATATGACGAGGGGCTCCTTCTTGGGCCCAGGCTCAGGTCTCACGCGGTAGAAAAACACACGGCTCAGAACAATCCACAACACTCCCGGCAAAGTTGAAGACACGAAGTTGAAGGCGTAATTTCTAACACAACATGTGCTTCGTTCGAGCACATGCACAATTTGAAACGGAACTTTTAAGGAAAGGAAAATAAAAAAAAATTTCAAGCCAAAATAAAAAAAAATGCATTTCGTGGGAGAACAAGCATGGGGGGGGGGGGTGCTCATTTCTGTCGGCAGCCATTAACTTTTGATGGAAATTCCATGTTCCTGTGACCAGGGGCCATTGTCTCCCATTAGACAATCGCAATTGACTGATCACAAAAGTCGAAACGATTTCATGCCCAATTGGACATGCAGGTATTGCTCGTCTCCTGTTTGCAGACCCTGAGTCAGTGATGGAAATCCCACGTTCCTATGGCGAATCCATATACAGGAAAAGAGCTCTCGACTTATCCCCAAATTGGTACTCGTTTTATGGCCATGGGGAGATGATGGGCTGAATCAATCTCCAACCTGGATTTGAACTCACAAGCTGCTCATTCCACCGCTGAGCCACCAGCCTGGGACTAAAAAAACGGTACTAATTTTACCGAACCCCCAAGGGACGAAATGCTGAGTCATTCCCTGACCGAAATTTGAACTCGTGACCTTGCAACTGTGAGACGGGCCCTCTTAGCACAGCGCCACCCGGCCAGATAATCTTTGCCTTACATGTGCGGAAAAGAATTTGTAGTACGGTCAATGGACCTGCCGACAAAAGACATGATAGGATAAATGGCCTATCATGTTCACCAGCATCTCTTAATGCATACGCGATAGTGGGATTATCACAGCGATGGTACGGCGAGCCGTATGGTGCCAGACGTAAACGTTTTCTCATGCCAGTGCGTGGCGGTCAACGATAAACTGGGAGGGATCGCAGACCTACTGATCTCTGGAATAGCCTCATAATGGTTTCCAGTCTTCGAGGAAGATCCCAGGTTGATGCATTTGAATGTTCGCAGCTGAGGCTACACGCTACGCAGACCTCGATGGGCTTTAACATGCCACAGTAATAGCCTGTGATTTAGTGACTTCAAGATTCTCTTTGCCGAAAGATAAAAGTCCTCTTAGAATCGCGCCGCCTTAACAAATGCAACATTAGCTCTTTGTGAAATGTTTCACGTAATGGACTAATGCCCTATTAACTTGTGTTTTTGGAAAGAAAGAAAAAATGCAGTGACCGCATGAGAACATAAATAAAAAACATAAAGGTTATGAGCGATATCCCTGAGTTTGTGTTTCTGATTAACTGCCATGTCAGGAAGCCTAATTGGATAACCTGATAAGTGTATTTGACCAGTAACATACAAGCATTTTTACGTTTGAAAAATTATGATTAATAAAAACGTACCCTTTATGGATAAAATATTACAAATGTATGTTATGTTGTTCACATTTAAACTGGTGGAGAGCATAATGCCAATGAATTAGACAAGACAGCCTCATTGAGTCTCAAGAACAGTTTTCAATAGTTTCAAGCTGACTTTGTTTAACCTGGTGAGAACTCAATATGCCAGGATATCGTCTAATTTGCAAGTGACCTGGGTCAGCCAAATGGAAAAAGCACAAAAATAAGATTTCAGTTTGCATGGAATCTGGGAGGATACCACAAGGCCCACAGCATTCAACTAAACACATTTTTTTTATTTTACCAGGTAAGGCCCACTGAGCTATGTAGCTCTTTTTTAGAAGCGACCTGGGCCACAAATGATAGCTCAACGAAGTGGCTTGTCACGTGACAATGTACAGCAGTCACATACTCTAAACGCGTGATGTTGATGCTAAATGTGGAGGGAGAAACGGGAGCACGCGGAAAAAATCCACATGCCCATGGGCAGATAGAGAGACACGCAAACTCCAAATTAATAGCAGGCGTTAGGGTTGAGATCGAACCCACGACCTCCTGGATACCA